CTCTCTCTCTCTCTCTCTCTCTCTCTCTCTCTCTCTCTCTCTCTCTCTCTCTCTCTCTCTCTCTCTCTCACGCACACAGCATTCAGTAGCGTTGAAGTCGTTCGAAGTCTGTGCCACGGTTACCACAGGCAGTTTTATCCTCCCTCCCACGGATAGCCCACGCAACATCTGGTCTGAAAAACTCAGTCATCGAGACGTACTTCCAGCAGTCGACAGGCGACCATCTGCTGCTCCAATCTTTCCCCGCTACAAGGCATCACGTGGCCATGCATTGATCCGTATACGGCGCTGTCTCGGTGGCCATACTGAGCAGAACTAAACAAATTTTCCATCTCTGCACCGAAACCGTAATCTGAAGCCGCGATCGCTGCCAGTTAGTCATTGCCACCCACAGGAGACAATCGCCCGCCCTCCCATTCGAAAAAGATCACTCTTTGACAGTCAAAGGTACTCATCGATGTCCAATGGTATGCCACCCATAGCCACGGACAGCCGCCACGGGCAGCTATCAATTTCGATCCCATGACCACAGATAATGGTCCTCAAGGCCCCCAGTGCACCTACCAACCCCTCTATGACACTCCATCCAGCCCAACGCGCCGACCGGTCGTAGGCATCCATACTCCCCGACCACGACCGGTCGTAGGCATCGGTACTGTTATCCACTGTTAGCCATCGACAACTGCCATCAAAAGCTGACAGTCGAACGCAACCCCGACGTCTCTGACTGTCGCCCACGTTTGCATCCGCCTCCATTTCACATAGACAATCCGTAATAATCCATCCAGAGCTGCTGCTGTCAATATCCGCCCATGGTCGCCCATAACCATCCATCAACTGGATCGACTGTCCGTAACCCACTCCCCACCCCTGTTGCCACCACCCACTCAAACATGGCCTTCTCGGGCAAAACCCCCCAAAATTATTCCCGTTCAGTCACTGTTCATTGCCGAATGGGTGGGTGGGTGGGTCGGTGGGTAAATGGTGGGTGGGTGATCGCCCCACCCACCCTTCACAACCTGCCCTTCCTTTGCTTCCCTGTCAATCTCTGCCACGAATTCAATCCCCTGATCTGTTGCTCTTCAAACGTTCATAGAACTATCTCCAAGCCTTGCCACCTGGCGATCGTAGGGGGACTTACAACCGACCGAGTGCTTTCAAGCTTTGTTCACTTATCCATAATCGTCGTACGAAACCTACCATACCCGAACCATACCCGAATATAAACGGCCTGAACACGCGCCATAGGAAGAAACCAGTCACGTTCGACATTGATCTCCGATCTGAGACCCCTATCGAAACGGAGAGAGCGGACACAGCCAAAGGAGGAAGGCGAAAGAGCAGAAAGGAGGAGGGGGGGAGGGGGGGGAGGGAAGGGAAGAAGAGGAGGAGGAGCGAGAGGGGAAAGAAGAGAAGTAAGAAGAAGAGCCATCCGGTTTTGCGCTGTCTATGGTGGTGCTCCCAAGGCGTACCAACCCGGAGGTATGGACGGGCCAAAGGCGACCGAATCGGCGTAATAAAGGGGTCAGCAGGCGATCGACCCGGACTAATGGGGACGGGTCAAAGAGAAGAAGAATGCAATCGATCGATTATTATATCATACGTGCTATGTACCTATCTTGGCGAAAGAGTCACCCGGTTTTGCGCTGTCTATGTTGGCGCTCCAAGGCGTACCGACTCGGAGGCATGGACGGCAGGCCAGAAGGCGACAGACCCGGCGTAATGAACGGCACGCCAGAAGGCGACAGACCCGGCGTAATGGAAGGGCCAGAAGGCGACAGACCCAGCGTAATGGAGGGGACAGAAGGCGACAGACCCGGCGTAATGGAGGGGCCAGAAGGCGACCGAGCCGGACGAATGGGGAGGGGTCAAAGAGGAGACGAATGCAATCGATCGATTATTATCATACGTGGTATGCACCTATCTGGCTTGGCATTCACCATCGACCCGGCGGCGCAGGGTCATCCACGACCGGAAATCGGCGGCGGAAAAGGTGAGGGAGCGCTGCCAAGCAACGGCTGCCCTCTCGAGGGCGAGTGACCGAAGAAGGCAGCCGAGGCCTGCCTCGATACCGCGATCTCCTTCCTCAACATAGCTAGTTGATTCTTGTATCCTGAGATGGCCCGATCCTTCGCCCCCAGCTCCGCCTTCAGACTGGATATCTTTCTATCTTTCGCTGCCACGTCGGCTCTGCAAGCCGCAACTTCTTTATCCTTGACTGCCACGTCAGCTCGATAAGCACACACCATCTCCTCCAAGCGCGCCACCTCAGCCTTCATTTGCGCAATCACCTCGTCTTTGGCGGCGATCTCCTCCCTGAGCACCACCACCGTATCCGCCTCCGCACCACTGATTACCGCCGCCCCCATCAGATCCGTCGAGGCCACTGCCGTCTGAACCTCTCTGTGTTTGACCGCCCTCCCCCCACCGTCTCCTCCCACGACAGACAAGCAACGTGCACCCTCCTCGCCGCCTTGACCTACGGCTGCCATGCTTGCTTCTGCCGATGCAGCTGCAGCAGACGAACTGTTGACGTCAGTTACAAGTTGTTGGCCTTGCTGCTGCTGACTGCGAGGGTCTCCTTTGTCGACGAAGATGTGAGGAGCAGGCGGCCATGGATTACTGCTACTTCTCGTTGCCTCGGACGAGGCACAGCGCATCGCGCAGGCGATCTCTCGGTCCTTGTGGGCCAAATCGCTCTCCAGACGGGCAATACACTCGACCGCCATCGCCAGCCGGGCCCTATCCGCCCTCCACTCCGCCAGTTCCCCTTCCCTGCGCTCTTGCTCCGCGCTCAGCCGCGCAATCTCCGCGTCCCTCTCCACCAGCCCCCTCCTCAACCCGTCCACCGTGCTTTCGTCATCGTCGCCGGTCCCTATCCCGATCCCCGACACCGCACACGGCGGCGACCGCCTCCGCCCGACCAGAATTTGCTCCCCGTCGACCTCCGTCAGCACAGATTGCAGGTCGGAGATGGTTGTGTGCGCTCGTTGCAACTCCGCACGGCTGTCCGCGGCTTGCGCGTCTCGACTCGACAGCTCCGCCCGCAGACGGCGGTTCTCCGCCACCAGTCGATCGCACTCCCATCTCCACTGATTCGTGGAGAAAACGGGAGGAGGCGGAGGCGGACAAGGCAGATCGGCCGCGTGGGGGGGAACTTGGACACCGTTGCTCGCCTCCTCCTCTCCTTCTACCGCTGCCTCGTTCCCTCCCTTCG